TAAGGCAAGAATGAGGTTTTATTTTGGTGAATATTGCATATTACAATATGGCATGCATTATATTAGGGAAAACAGTGTATATGTCATTCTGTAATCATATTTGGGAGCCCAAAACTTGGATGAATCTATGAAATGTCATGACCTGCTGGCCAGACTAGATGATTTCACTTCTAGACTTAAGGCCTTATAAAGTAGTCTGAATTGAAACATTCATCTAGATATGTGATTTCTTCTAAAACTGTAATCATGATATAAAGACACAAGGGACACAAACTGGCAGAGCAAAGAAAACAATCTTTGAACTTCTACAACCATTTCTGTCTGCAGTTTTACTTACATGTACCTTTATAAGATCTGCATGGCATACATGACTCCTTTTTCAAAGTCTACTAACACTTAATGTAAAAGTTTACCTAAGCCAGATATATTGCCCTTATTTAATACTGACATGAATAACAACACTTGGAAACTATCACCCTATATGTGATTTTTAATATAGCTTCAAATCATAATTTCTTGACAAACAAGTAGCTTTCTAGCATAAAAACATAGTAAATAGCCAAAGCAACATAAGCCATTTTAGAAAAAAGTTCACATCTTACAAAGCAAAAACCTCCAAACAACCCAACCCAAAAAACCCAAAACCAAAAGCCATCAGCAACCATAAAAGCCAGACTTCTGTATTCTCTGGAATCAGCAATATGATTTAAAGAACATATCAATCAGTAATTATTTAAACAGTGTGAGAAATATTTCAGGAGGATTAGTCTAAATGTTTTTCTTGAAAGGGTAAATGAAGGCAGGCAACTGGAAACAAGTATTTTCATTCAAAACAGATATGTTTAAAAAAGATTCAAAAGAAATATTAAACATTGACCCAACTCGTTCTTTGCATAAGTTTTCTGAAAGTGAAAGCTGTTCTCTGAAACAGCCTACTACTAAGATGCTAAAAGAATCTAGAGCCACAAAGAAAATAAGAGATGTATGATACTATTTCTGAGTTGAAAATAGCTGTCCATACAAAAGATGGATCCCACTCCTAAGAAATTAATCTATCTCACATTTTCCAAGTGTTTCTATAAAAATAAAATCTTCCAAAACAAGCATCTGCTATGTCACTACAATCCTTCTCAGCTTCCAAGGGAGCAGTTTTCTGTGTGCTAAGAACCAAAGTACTGTGAACCACATATGCCTGGAGACTTGCAGGAAAAGCATCAGCTTCATTACATATTTACTCAAAAGTATCCCCAGCAGCTATTTCCCAGGTGCTATTTCCACCTTCAAAAGAGCATCATCAACAGTTCTCTTCCCAGGATGCTTTTTAAAAAGTGGGCTCACAAGTCTCGTTTGCAGGTGGAAATTGCAAATCAGAAGCACATCATACTTTCTGCAGAAGTAGTTGCATCTATCTCATATATTTTCACAAATTAAGAGTCCTGATAGCTCACTTTTTTTTTTTAAAGATTTCTTCCCATATTTACAGATACAAAACCAGATGACAAAGCACAAAGAAAAATGGCCTTATGTCTTCTAAAACCTATTAAGAATTGGGCCAAAGGTGTTTGCCAGTATATCATAAGAAAGAAAAAAACTCCTTCTTTATACATTTTATACAGCATGGAAAACTGAATTTATTTCTTTATTTATTGATTTGTCTTTAAAGAACTTGATACTGTCTGAAAAAACATAACCAAACAAAAACCACACAAAACCCCCCAAAACAACAGCTTCCATTTTCACAGAAGTAATTTACTGTTTCTCTTCATAAAGACTGCTCAAAAACAGCAAAGGCATAGGTCACTGCCTGGCATCTCATGGCTTCTTAGACACATAATGAATAATTCTGACCTTGCCTCCAGCAGTGTTGTCTAACCTGAAGTAAGCAGCAAGGGATAAAGAATGGATTCATGCTCCATATCTATCAGTTCTTAATAGCATCTCTGAAGTCTCAGACCCAAAAGTGAATCAACACACTTGTCCTGAGGTAAAGCACAAATGAAATGGCCTATATTTTAATGCAAGGAGTTTGGCATTTGCATTTCTTAACAGCAAAATACAGGTTCCTATTTCTCTCTTGACAGACACCCTTAGCTTGAAAATGTGACTAAATCTGATCAAGTCATGACAATCATGTGTGTCACTTTATATCTGACATATCAAGCACAATTTTTTGCCCCAATAAACTTTTTAGCCCAAATAAATCAGTTTTTCAAAATGTGACAGCACAGAGATATTTGTTTTTCAAACTAAGCACAGCAAAATTTTAAATTTTCTGAATCTATCATTTAAGTTTTACATAGGAGATTTAAATAGACCAAATAAATACAATATTTATTAGTACATCTCTGTGCCTTTCATGTATCCTGCCCTCTTCAAAGACTGAAAACACCTTTTACATTTTTCAGTATCATAGATCCCACAGTTTACTCTGTTGCCATTCCTCAATGACAATGTTCTATTTATGAGAAGTAACACATGAAGTTACCGCAAGTATTCCAAGAGAAAAAATGCAAGGAAACCTTTCAAAGCACAGTATCAGCACAGAAAATTTAATATACTTGATTTGCTGAAAACCACCTTAATTATGACTGATACGTTGAAAAATGCCTTAATTTCTCTACATTAGCAGTACTTTTGAATGTTTAGTTATATTTTTGGCTACAGTCAAAGAGCTTATAGAGCAAAATCACATACCAGACAGATAAGTCTTTCCTTCTTCTAAAAAGAAGGTGGCTACCCATTTGGACTATCAGTTAGAAACTTAAATAAATTAACTCTCATAACAGAGGATCAGTGCAATGTCTCTCATCTGTCTGAAGTACAGGATTGTGGCATTTCCTAGCATTTTTCCAACAGAACATTAAATAATGGAAGTGTGTCAAAACACACAATCTTGTGGGGAAAAGAAAAAGTCCGAAAGCAGGTTTTTTTTGTTTTTTTTAATGTGGTTTATTATTATTACCATTATCATTGTTGTTGTTATTATTATTTTATTTTTATGGCTTGTTTTTGAGCTTAGTACAGTCTTCCAGATTCAAGATTGGTCTGACTAGAGATACCTGTCAAGAAACAAGTTTCCTTAAGAGAACACTTGTTAAATTTTGGTACCTTGTATCACAATAGTTCAAGACATTACCTTTTTAGTCAACAGTACCTTAGTTTAGCTGTCTAGGCTGTTCTTGCTGATAAGTGAATGCAGAACTACTTTATTACAGGCTACTTTCTGCTGTGGTTCACAGGAATTAGAAATAATTTTGCTAGTATATTACCACTTGAAATCCTTTTCATCTAGTGGATTTAGCAGCAATTCCCTCTGGTAGTCCATTAATTGATTTACAGGGATGGGAGGTTTGTTTGTAAAACACATAACCAGGTATAAACTAGTGACATCACAACACCAAACAACAGAGAAGTTCTTTGCGGCGACATGCCACAGGGGAGACAAAGAGTTAATTGTCCCACCCCCAAACCCCTTGTGAAGGGCGGCCCAGGTGCTCTGATTGAACTCCACCCTCAAAGGTGGGGACCCTTAAGAGTTCTGTCCCTCAAAAACCCCTGCTGTGCCTCTGTTCAGGGCTCTCTGTTCTGGACCTGACTTTGTTCCCATGCTGAATAAATGGTTTCATGAACCGGGAGCCCGTCTCGTTGGTGTTACATGCTGGTCCCCAGAATCCTGCTGCTTCCCTGGATGAGATCCTGAGGTTGCTGACTGCAACAGTTCTTGTCACTATTCTATACTGTGATTCACATTCCAACATACAAATATATCTTCTATCTGTGTAACCTTCCTGTACACCCTTTCACCATCAGAGAGTCAAAAAGCAAGGCAGATATTTTTCTACAAAATAATGCAGTGACACAGGCTGAAACAGTGATACATGCCCAAGAAATATTATTGACATGGAAGAGAATACAATCATCTAAACCATAGGTAATTTTCAATTCCAATGACTGCCATAAATCTCAAGACAAAACTCCACATTATAATGTTTATTTTTTGCACTCCTCTTTTCAGAACAGAAAATATAACTAGCCTCTAATACCCAAAAGACAGAACTGACATACAGCAATAAAACCAGCAAAGAGTGATGTCATAATTTTTATAAAATCTCGACCACTCAAGAGCTATTAGTCCAGTGCTGAGAGATATCATAAGCTGAATGCATACCTTAATTTAAAGAACCAGCGAATGCCTTTGGCAGGGAAAGATCAGTACTTGATAAAGGAAGAGCCAATTTAGACACCTTCAGCAAGGAGAAAGCTGCCTAAAAGCAGCTGATTTTAATGTCTCTCTTTGGAATTCATGCAACTGATGCTGTTGAGCCAAAGGAGGTAGAAAAATAGACCAGTTGTTTGCATTAACTGAAATATTAACCATCTCCTAATGTATAAAAAGGCAGTGAAAGCAAAATCTCTGACACACAGCCCACAAAAATTTACATTAAATTCCCAAACCTGTCTTATTACCATCAAGCAGACCATCACACAGAAGGCCTTTTTTCCATGAAAATTTCTAATATTTTGGTTTTAATCATCCAAAACTGAGTGCCTCTATCTATACCCAGTTATGCCCTGAAATAATCTCACATCAGGTTTTACATAAAACCAAAACAACCTGGTATATAAATTTTAAAACCCTAGGGCTCTTACTAATCCCTTAAAAATTCTACAATAACACATCTTCTCCACAATTCATTTGTCTATAACTCTTCCATGCCATACTGTAACTCCACATGCAGACTGACAACAATAAAAGGAGACATATTGGAAAACCACCATCCACAGTAAAGACTGAAAGTGGAGAATAAAATGAGCAATTAAATTATATTAAATTTGTCATAGGAAAGCTTACAGAAATATACTCAGACATGAAGAAATGATTATCATTCTATGCAATATGCATTTGTGAACTAAATTATTCAGGTACCAGCTACGAAACATCTGTAAGAAAAAACAAACCAGTAAATCATAGTATTCTTTTCCAGGCTACACTTGCCTACCTGTTCTTTGACTGAAGCTAGAATGGCAGAGGTTGTCTCAGTTTCAGAGCCATCGCCATTGGATGTGTTCAACACAGGACTAAGGGAACTTGTCTTGTCAGAAGACGAGGGCTGGTCTGGAACAGGCATAGTTTCTGCAGTTTATGGAAAAATAAAACAATGGGTTTGTTATCATAAACCTGATAAATATCAGACTCATTTACATATAAGAATAATAACACTCATTTATGGTAAAAATTATAGAATAGGCTTCTGTTCTGTACTGAACAATATACCACTTACTTAAAACATAATTTCTGAATTAAGAAAAAAATATCTTTATCGTCCATATTTATTATTTAATATTAATTAATATTAACATTTAATATTAAAATAATTTTAATAATAAAATATTAATTTATCTTATTTTGAAATAGTTACTGTCAGTACATTTGAGAGGATTCAAATAATTTATAGCTTTGATTTTTGTATAGTATTCCAGTGGGAGTATGCAGCATAAAACTATAGTATCATGAAAGTAATGAATCATTAAATGCTTTTCAAGCAGAAAATCAACAAATGATACATGAGAGAAATATAATCTAGTGTTTACTTGCTAACACACGCTTATTTAATAATTATTATATTTTAAACCTAGGCAACTTTCACACTCTTTCTTCTAGTCCAGAAGATGATTTTGACAACATTTTATCTGAGTATTTTTATGAAAAACAGCACACCTGTTCTTAAGCCAGTTTTGAGACCTCTTACCAGAAAAAACAAACAAACAAACAAAACAAAACCACCAAAAGAAAAAGAAGAATCTTAGCATTTGAAGGCATTTCTAGAATTTCTTTTCAGAGGGCAAAACTGGTGTGACTGTGGAACGATTTATCTTTCCAAAGGCTAAGCTATAGTGTGGTATCTCTGTTTAAATGTCCCTATAGGCACATCTCCAGAGGCAGACATGTGCCACATTCCAGAAGTAAAGGAGTGGAGATGCAACTTGCATGATTATGCACAGGCATGACAGGATAAAATCATGTTCATGTAGGACCTGGCCAAAATTATTCTGTGCAAGAGAAGTGGCCCACAAGCTGCCAGCTGCATGGGCCTTCTAAAGAGCAGTGGGGATATTCAGAACAGTCACCACTTGCATCAGAAGCAAAACTCCTACCTTGGCTCTATTCTACTAAAATATATAGTAATAGAGCTTTTTCTGAAAAAAGTGAGAAGACTGAAAACAGTAGGAAAGGGTAGTTGGTAAAAGCAAGTATAAAATTCAACACCCAGACCAAGCATCTCTGCATCAGTCTGCCATTAGAAATTAGAGTTCTAAAAGGGAAGATGACTTTCTATAAAGCTTTGTCTCTGAAGCCACAGGGCTACCCAAGAAGACACAGTTAGTCCAGCAGGGTAGCATTTTTCCAAATCTTCCTGAAGCTCAAGACACTGGCATACATATGCAAGACAAAACTACAAAACTACAGCAGCATGAGGCTCAAAGAATTGCATCCCAAGACTGCACTGGGCTGGGAAGAAACACCAGAGCTGTGAATGAGTCGCCTGGCAAAATGTTTTCAGGCACACTGTCTGAGAGTAGCTCCCCTGCTGCATTCTGCTTTCCCTGCAGTGGTGAGGAAGCTCTCTGGGAAAAGCCCCTTTGTCTGCTCAGCTCATCCCCACGCTCCCCCACGGCTGCCTGACCCCTGCCCCCCGGCGGGGAGGCTCTGCTGAATCAGCTGTTTCATAAACACTCGCCCGAGGAGGTAAAACCCAGCTAAATAAACGAGACTGGGAGTCCAGAACTACACAAAATGTTTGCCCTAGCACAAATACTCGAAAATATGTGAAGTGTATTTGAGAGGGACTGTAAGGTTGCATGGCCAACCAGGAAGCCCCTCTGTGACCAAAAAAATGCTACTGGTACAACAACAGCTTATATGAGTTCAAAATATGAGACACAGGCAGCAAATGCCTGATACTCTTGTTAACTTCTTTTAGGGCTATATTCAGTCTCAGTAAAGTTTAATTTTTAGGCTATAAGTTTTTAAAACTTTGTTTTCAATAAAAAACACTTCAACAACTGCTTTAGTAATCGACATTAGTAAGCATCAGTTTAAATGGGAAAAAAAATCTGATTAGAAGATTAACTACTGTCATAAATTGTACTTGCTTCAAATAGGCTCAATATCTAGACAGTAGCTAACATTCTGCAACCATTGCATGTTTCCATAATTTTTGTTTGGTTTTTAAAAAAAATACAGATATCAAAAGAGGAGGGAAGAAAAAAAAATAAAAAAGGCATGCTACACTTCTTCTTCATCTAGAAGCAGAGAAATCAAAATAAATGTCCCTGACATCAAAAAAGAGTGGTTTTTGCCCCTATTAAAATATTTCTGGACAGAGAATGTAATTTCTAACATCTATCATGACTTCAGTTTACTACTACAGTTCTTCAAGCGGAAAGATTGCAGCCAACAGCACTTAGTAGGCCAGTATCCCTGGATCTACAGCTCTGTGATATCCAGCTGAACTGTTAACATTATAGACTCTAACTGTTATTTCTTCATTACTTAAATTTGTATGAGAAATACCACACAGAAAGGAAACACAAAACAAATTTTCACAACCAACAGAGACACTACTGTACTGAAGGTAGTTAGATTAAAATATATGTATATGATTCAACAATATGGAACAGTGCTTCAACAATAAACACCAACACAGCAAGCGCTCACATTTGCACATCTGTTCAGAGATGAACTTTTAATTTAGCTCAGTCTTCAGCATAAGAAGCTGGGCATTCTGAGGTTTCAGTGGGACTTAAAACTGCTAGTACTGTAGAATTACAAAATAAATGGTTGAAATGAGCCTCTGCACCCCTAGCCCACTACCAAATCTCTAGACGAGGCAGATATTTTCCTGTAATTCCATATATTTAACATACAGAACCAGTCCTCAACTCAAGCTCCTCCACTGAAGCCTCTCTCACTGCAGCCTCTCTTAGCCACTTCCTTTTGCACCAGGCTCCACTGGCCTTACCAGTAGAAAATCTGCTTTGCTGTTTAATATACATTTAATCTCCCTGTTTCCTCCACTGTTCAGCATGGGCACAAAAAAACCTAATAATTCCATCAGTTGTCTTCAGAAAAGCATTTTCCCACATAATCATAATGACCACCTTCTCTGGCTTCCCTTCCCAATTATTTTCGTTTTTCATCATAAAGTAAGTTGGCTGATAGGCTTTTAACCCACACTTCTGGGAACTTTGCACCAGAAACGAAGGGAAAATTAGAGGGAGTACAAGAAGAAAAATAAAAGTTAAGCATCTTAACAGAGTACACCATAGCTGAGAAACTACTATCAGCAAATTGGCCACATTTAATTTCCACAATAGCAACACTATTTTCTATCTGTGCCACAAAAATATGCATTAAATTCTATAAGTCAGAGCATATACACACTCCTGAGAGAAACAAATTAAAATCTTAGACGATCATAGACAGATGAACAGGGAAAACACTACCAGCCTTTTGGGAACATACTGGAAAGTCAGACATAAATAATCCATGGATTCCCGTACTCCAAAGTGCTGGCAAAATCCTGTCTAGAGTTTGACCCTTTAATTTTTTTTTTCCTGTCCTTCTAAGAGCATCTTAAAACTTTATCTCAATTTAACGAAAAATATCCGACAACCCTGTAAATCCAAACAAGACCATCCTCTCCCTACCGGGTGTTGGCTCTGCGGAGCGGCCGGGGCTGCCCGGCCCGGCCTCAGGCGGTGCCGGCGGCTGCA